CAGCACACAGGGAATGGCTTCCCATGGAAAATCGGGGGAGGATTTATGGGATTTTTGGGACAAGGAAAGGTTGGATCCGGGTGGGATTGGGATGGGATTGGGATGGGATTTGGATGGGATTTGGGGGCAAATTCCCACTGAATTCCTGCATTTCCCAGTTCAAGCTGGTGATCTCGGAGGTGCTGGTGGCCGATTTCCTGCTGGCYTTTTCCGTGGATCGGATCCTGCAATTCCTGCTGGGCAGCTCCAGGCTCAAAGTGCCTTCCTGAGGGGAATTCCCRCATCCCAAAATCCCAAAAATTCCCGTCCCGGGCTCCGATCGCATCCCGAGGGACAATTCCCACATCCCAAGGGATAATTCCCATATCCTGAGGGACAATTCCCATATCCCAAGGGACAATTGTTCCCTCCCGGGTCCCTCGGGAAAGGAGGATCCGACTTTTTAATGTTTTTTTTTTCCCAGGACATTCCCATGCTTTTTCGGGGAGGGGGGAAAATTCCCATCCTCCGAAGGTTCCCGGGAATGTTTTGGGGATTTGGTGACTAAAAATCCCAATCAAGGTGTTTTGAAAAGAGTTTGGAATTCTTGGGGGGGAAGAGAAAACGGGGATGGGATCCATGGGAATGGGGAATGGGAATAAAAACATCCCGAAAATCCCCGGATTGGGGGAAAATCCAGGATTGCCCCAGCCCCGAATTCCCGGAATTCCGAGGGATTTCATTCCAAACGGGATCAGCCCGGGGGCAGCCGAGCTGCTGCCGTCCTCTCCACCAGGAACCCGTAACTGTACTGGGAAATGAAATTAATGGGAATTAAACCTCGGGGAAATAAATTAGGGAAATTAGGGAATGGGGCTCAGAATTCCCAGCGGGAATTTCCGAACCTCGCGCTCGATGTCCGCCAGGGATTTCACYGTCAGCTCGGCCAGGATGGGCTGGAAAAGAGGGAAAATGGGATTGGGGGTTATCAGGGATTAATTAACAATTRATTGATTAATTAATGATTGATGAGGGACTCACGGAGCTGAGCCGGGACTCGAATTTGGGGTGGAGGGCGAAGGGAACGCCGTCCATGGCTGGAGGAGGGAAAAAACGGGATTTAGGCAATGGGAAAAGAGCCC